TGGCTGTGGATCCAGGACTCGGGCGGTCCGCAGAATCTTCGTCAGGCTGGCTTTTCGGGCCCATGTTTAGCTTTCAACAAGTTCGACAACATTATGGAGTTGTGGTTACTGGTCTAGGGCTGACTGTCCGGCTCCAAACCCTAAACTAAACCCGATCCGGTCTGATTTGCGGGACCGGGCTTCAGAATTGAGGGCGGCCTTTCGGTTCTCTCGAAGTCTCTATGCTTCGGTCTGCGGCCTGCGGCCTTTGAGAGCTGCAGAGTCTTCTCCTTGGGGCTTTCGAAGTTTCTGTTTCTCGTGTTGCAAGGATGGGCAATTTGGGAGACCTGGCCATTTAGTGGGCTTTGAGACTGGGGCTTTAAATACGGCATGTGGGCCACGAGGATCGTTTGATGTCAGCCTGCAACCTGAACCGTGCCCCATTGTCGCCCGAATACGTCAAGTGGGTACGGAGCCCCGGGCACTCTAGTCACACACCAAAGGCTGCATAGCTCCATGCGGAAGTCTGCATGCTGCTGCCCAACCCTCAATTCCGCGACTTCTTCTCCTCGTGGCCAACACGTGTGCCATGCCGAAAGCCTTCCGTGAATGTAGCGCGGTCCTCTTGCCAGAGGCAGTGCGAAGGCCGGCAGCGTACTTGCTAAAGCCCGCAGTCTGGGCCGTTTCCAGCAAGAGCCTGGCAGGCTCAGCAAGACCTCAAGCGGATGTGTGCTGTCGGTTAGGCGCGGAACCCTGAAGGAAGTGGAAAGGAAGAACGAGCAACTCCGCGCTCAGCTGCGCAAGTCTCGTTGGCCCGAGTTGAAGCACTTCTCGTCGAATGAGCGGATCTACATCCTGCCATTGCGGGCCGGGAGCAGGGACTCAAAAAACTCCTCTCTGCCATCGGAACCCAAGCTGGCTTACTTGGCCAGCTTCTTCGACGGGGATGGCTGCGTTTCATGTTGCCGAGATTTGTCTGGATGTATTTTGCCAGTGGGGTCGGGGCAGTCCTTCGACCAGGCCGAGGTTCTGATGCTGTTTTATGAGACGTTTGGGGGAAGCATCGGGCGTCTTTGCAGCGGCCTGGGCCTGCGCAAGCCCACCCTTCCGTGGATGGCATGTGGCCAATCTGCACGACGCGCAGCTCAGCTCTACTGGCGGCCCGTTGGCCCACTGCAAAATCCCACAGAACGGAATGCGGGGCCGAGCTGCGTGAGCTAAAGGCGTACGACTCGGCGGTGGCTGGCCCCTGCAGCTGGGAGTATCCTGCTGTTTTCTTCGATGCAGCCGGGAATGTTGACCAGCAGCTTGGAGCAGCCACTCTGGTGTTGCAGATTGCGCAAAGAAGCACCCACGAGTCCTGAAGTGCCTTCGCGAGTTTTGGCCCGAAGGTTAGGCAAAGGTGGCACACTTGCAAAGTCGGGAGAATCTGTGCATGTACTTAGATTAGGGCTTGCGGCCTGAGCTCCTGTAAGCAAGTGCTGCAACAACTCTTGGCCGCTGTACTGCTGCGCAAAGCGAAACAAGCGAAGCTGGTTTTGGCCTTGACATCGGAGACGGCGGCCCAAGTCAACTCTGAGCTGGGGTACCTGACGGGAAATCAAAAGTTTGGTCATAGGCCGTCATAGGCTGGACACTGCTGGCCAAGAAAGGGCGAGGAAGACTTCGGCCCTTCGATGATGAAGGCGTTTGGAGACTTCGCAGGCGGAGTGCTGCCGGTATGATCGCAGGCGAACCCCAAAGATCTTCGCAACAACAAGAAGGTCACCATGCAATTTTCCGAGCACGCGGCGCTGTTTACCGGAAACACGGCACGCGAGGTCGATGAGCAAGCCTCGTGAGAGATCAAGAAAGGGCCAAGAAGATTTCGGCCTTCGATGATGAAGGCGTTTGGAGACTTCGCAGGCGGAGTGCTGCCGGTATGACCGCAGGACGACAAGTCCGCGAACCCCAAAGATCTTCGCAACAACAAGAAGGTCACCATGCAATTTTCCGAGCACGTGGCACTGTTTACCGGAAACACGGCACGCGAGGTCGATGAGCAAGCCTCGTGAGAGATCAAAACAAAAAGCACAATGCTCGCCTTAAACGAGGAGGGCAGATTGCTGAAGCCATAGCTAAGCTTGGGGAGGTTGGGGTGCTCAAGGAATAGCACCAGCTGCTCAAAGCTTGGCGTGAGAACCAGCAACTGCTTGAGTACATGCACCGACTGCAGAGCTTGCACGACAATTCGTTAGACGGGCGATTTGCCCAGGGTACGTGAACGGATATGGCAAAACCACAGTCAGGAGAACGGAGGTGTGCAGTTTCGGGGTTTCGAGTTTATGGCCAGTAGCAAAAGCGGTTTAGGGTTTAGGGGCTCGGGCTGTTGGCCATCACCGGAAATCTGCAGAAGCCAAGGTGTCGCGCTTTCGGGTACTAGGGCCTGGGGCTCCAGACGTTCTTCTTCTTGGTGCATCCGCTCATTTGCATGACGCATATGACTTTTGTACATATATATGTATATATATATATATCTATATTTGTGTGTGTAGTTATTGCTTCAGTATTTGTTATTTTCTTTATTTTTCGTTGCAAGTTTTATGCATGTACTTGTTTACAAAATGATACTTGTCGTGTTAAAGTGTTAAAGAGCCCGAAATCTTCAGCCCTAAACCCCCTACATTCAATTCGTCTGAAAACCCTAAACATAAAAATCTCCCGACGCTTAAATCCAACCCGGGACCCAAAACCCGGAGCCTTTAAACCTAAAGTCCGAAACTCTGGTAAGGGATTTGCTCCAAGTCTCACTCAGGTGCGCCTTGTCATCTTCCCTTTCTGAAGGTAGATGTGATTCTAGAACGGCGCGACATGCCTGGCAGGAGCCGAAAAAGTAGGTCCCGAAAAGAACCTGGAAAGGAACCCTGCTTAGCATCCTGTCCAGGTCCTCATCGAGCTGGCCCTGAAAGACAGCGATTTGGGATATTGCCAGCCCGAAGACCAAGTTTCCAGCGACCTTCGTGCTTTGTAATGTCTGACTTTATTCGGTGCCTACAGTAGGCTGGCTAGGCCGCCCAAAAGGTGACCAGCAGGTGACAGCCTTACAATCAGCAACAAGGTCATGAGACAGGCTGACGTGTTGAGCAGATAGGTTTGTTTTCCCGCGCTTCACTTCCTGACATTTTCCTAGCCTAACTGCTATTGAGAAGTTTCGATCTATGAAGTCAGACGTATCGCTTCTGCTGCGCTTTGAAAAACATCTTACGGGGTCTTCGTACTTCCGTTACGTAATAAATAGTCCTCCTCGCTTTGCAACGTACGCTTGAAGGCGAAAATAAGTTGAAATGCTTAAGCCGCGGTTTCACTCCTTCTTTCGCCATGACAGAAGTCTGCAGCCCGAAGTGGAAGCCAAGGCAACAAAATCCTAACCCCAGACTCATCTGGGCCCCAAAGAAAATGCAGAAAGACAGTGAGATTCTAACCCCCAAAATGCAATGCCTCAATCCGCGCGTGCGAGCGCAGACTGAAGACCTTTGAAGTTCTGAGCCTGAACCCTGAACCCCTCACAGTTTTGACTCATCAACTCAAACCCAAAACCCGTTATATTGCGAGGTCCCTGAACTTCATCGCTGCCAACTTTTTGATGGTCCTCGGTGGTCCTGATCCGGTCGGCTTCCTACCCTGCTGTTTTGTGACCATCGAACCCGTCGACAGACACAAGCGCACGGGAGCAATGTTAAATGGGTTGACAGTCGTTTGTCAACGTGTGTGCTCAGTGGTTGCGGCACAGGACATCGGGATCAGTTATCAAGACATCGTGGTTTGGGGGGTTTCAAAGTTTCGGGTTTGCTTAAGTAGTGTTTGTTTAAAGTTTAGCGTAGGGATCGCGACAGGTAGGAACGCCGAGACATCATCCTGCTGGTGGCAGTGGGTTTTGTTTGTCGTCGTTGCAAATGTGCCGAACATGACGACGGCGATGATGCGACAAGGACGGTGATGCTCGTGGTGAGGGTTGTCTTTGGTGGCTGGTGGTGATGGGCGTGGCAACCTGGTTGGCTGCTAAAGGGATGCTATCGCTGTCTTTGCGCGAGCCTTATCTGACTTCATCATCTGTACTGTCATTTTTTCGGATGGTAAAGCGAGCGGTGGACAGGGTTTAGGGTTTGGGCCTTAGGGGTTTAGTGCCTTATTGTTTTCTCTCGTTGGTGGCTTCGTTGCGACGAAGTAAGAAGCAACATTTCGCTGTGTGCTGCTCTGTCTATTATTGAAAATATCGTCTACATGGTGGACCTTTGGCAGGGCCCTTGGCGTGCTTTTTCTTTATGGAATTGCGGGCAATTGCGGGGCAGCCGTTTTCAGGGCCTGGCGGTGCTCAAACTGAAAGCTCCTTCTACAAGCCCGCATACATGTTCATGCTATTCCACCATAGTCCCTTCACAATTATCGAACAAAATGAGTTAGTACCAAAAAAACCGTATTATACTTATTCAAACTATTAAGGCCTCTATGTTATCGGAGCAGCAGCGGGAGAGCTTTAGAGTCAGAGCCAGCCGGTGCAGCAAGGCTCTGGCGGCAGTTCGACAGCTCCTCACAAAGCTGCAGTGGCACCCTTGGCTCGGGGTTTTCGGTTAAGGGCTACACCGACTTTGCCAAGTCCGTTTGGAGCCTCAGTGGTGGTGTCCGCCTCCAATGCAATAATGCAGAAACGCGCCCCATACCCCAAAGCCCATGCAAACCCTAAGGTGAAGAAGAAGCAGGTCGGACCCTGTAAAGGGTCTTGAGGTGCAAGAACAGCCTGAGCCTGGGGCAAAGCAGCGTTTTGACTCAGCTCAGACCACAGGTACGGAGTAGTTTTGACTCGTGCCATGGCCTTAGCTGTGGTCTGCATCGTGGCTATTGAGCTATGCTGGAGTGTTGGATTAAACACGCTTGTGAGTACCATGAAGTCTTGGCTTCAGGATCAGGGCTTCAGCAACGCCGATAGCAGCTCAGTGCACCAGATCTTCACCCTTCTGTCCTTTGCCTTTTGCTTTTTGGGCGGCATGCTGGCAGAATCCTACGTCGGCCGCTACACGACAATCTTGGTCTTTTCCGCGATCTATGCAATCGGCTGCGGGCTTACCGCAGTTGCAGCCAGCCCGGCGATAGAGAGCATCCCTCTTTTCATGCTGGGAATACTAGTGCTCACAGCTCCCGGGACCGGTGGTGTGAAGCCGAACATCGGCACCTTCGGTGCCGACCAGTTCGACCCTCAAGGCGAGGAATCCCAAAAAAGGAAGGAGGCCTTCTTCATGTACCTGTATGTCACGATGAGTGTGGGCGCTGTTATAGCCTTTGGCTTTCTGGCCAATGTTGCTACTGCCGGTTTGCCACCACGCATCCCTAAAGAAGATGGGTTTTTCTTCGCCTACATCATCATGGCCGTACTGATGGCTCTTGCCTTGATCCTGTTTGCAGTGGGCACTCCGTTCTACCGCAAGGAAAGCTTTCAGAAGAACACAGAGCCGGTGCTGATGCCGGCCATGCGACGTCTGTTGGGCGGCAGGCGAACGGCATGGGGCAAAGTTGCGTTGCTGGGCTGGGCGCTGCTTCCTGCTCTTATCGTCCTGTCCGTTTTGCAAGTCTTCTACCCATCACGCACACTCACGATTGTGAGTCTGTTGGCTGACCTGATTTGCATTGGTTGCCTCTGTACGGCGCACTACAACAACTCGTGGTTGGGCGAGCCCGACAGTGTCACACGGTGCCTGGACGTTGTGCCCAAGATCATTGTGGGGAATGTCACGTTCAATGTGCTTTACAATACCATGTTCAGTCTCTTCTATTCCCAAGCCTGTCAGATGGACACGCGGCTCGCAGGTGTGGGTTGTCCGGCTTCCTTTTGATTGATTTAACGTAGTCGCTTGAACAGTAGTTGGCATGTGGCTTGGCACAGTGTTGAGCCACCTCTAAAGTCATTGACGTTGAGTAGCGGACTGCATAACTGATGATAAGAAACTATCCCCATACAGTCCGTATACAGGGGGGAGTAGGCTGCGAAGGCCCCTACAGAACAGACGCTTGCCGTCAGGTGGCCTGCAGCTCAGTGGGGCCTTTTTCAACCTCGGCGATGCCTTCGCCGTGATTATCTTCACGCCTCTGCTCGAGCGACTTATCGTTCCTTTCGCTGAGAGAAAACTGGGGCGGAAAGTGAGCTCCAACATGAAGGCATCTTAGAGTGGATCAGTACACAGCCTCCGGCTTAGTCTCAAGGAAGGACGTGGGGGGGTGTAGTGTGTGGTCGTTGAAGTTTGAAAGGAAAGCTGTCTTTATTTTCAGGTACATGACAAGCCCTACTATGTGATCCATACTTCACAAGACTAAGCTGGCTGCAGCCTGGCGATCTAAGGTACTGACAGGAATCTCAGTTGCCATTGCCTCGCAGCTCACTGCTGCCGGCCTGGAGTATTCGCGCCGCAGCGCGGAGGTTTTGTCCATTCCGTCGAACTGTGCCCCATTAGCATCAGATGGGCAGCATGTGAGGATGAGCGCGATGAGTGCGTTTTGGATGGTCCTGCCCTATGCCATGGTTGGTATTGGTGAAGCATTGGTGAATCCGGTTCTTTGGCATGTGGCCTACACCGCCGATCCATCGATGAAGTCTTTGATGCAAGCTTTCTGCCAGTTTGCCATGGGAGGCCTGCCGAATGCGATTTCGGCAGCATTGACACAAGCAACTAAGAGTTGGACACCGAACAACCTGAACAACGGCAACCTGCCCATGGTATATTTTGTCAACGCCGCCTTTTGCCTCGCAGGCTGCGCCGTCTATGTTTTTGTGACACGCAGCTCTGATTCCAAGGAGGGCAAGGAGTGGTGTGCAGCAGAAGACTCCACCAGCGAAGCTGGAGAGTACAGCGACACTTCCGACAGCCTCAACGAGGGTTGAGGGTGGTTCATGTGTCGCCGGCCTTGCACATTTTCTTTCCCCTTTGGCAACCAACGCGGTTCGGCTCCTCTAGAAACAAATGAAAACACAGGAGGCGAGATAATCAAAACACAACGATGCTAGTTACTGCAGCTTAATAGGTTAATTGTTGCTACTACAATAAGTCTGGGAAAAGCAGGGTGGAAGACTTATGTAAGGGCCTAGATAATTACCTATAATATTTGGGGCGGGGGGGGGTCCTTCTTATCAGTATTGCATAAGTTGCATAAGGGGAAATGGGGTGTGCAACTCGAGGGGTGTTCCTTCATATGGGAGCTTCGCCGAACCTGGGCGTCTCCTCTGCAATGCCTTTGGTGGCAAGAAGCCGACTGCTTGCCCGAGAAGAAACGGGTAATATAGGGGCCTTAATAATTACCTATACTATGTTGGGGGTTCCTTATTATACTTGTGGCATAATATACTTAAAACCCTATTCTAATTATTAAGGCCCTTACAAAACTGAAAATCGGAGAGACATGGCAGCTGAAGGGCTTGCCACAGTCAGGATGTACAGCCGAGAAGTGACAGTGCCGCCCTGCTGTGGGAACGTGTACAGAAATTAGCCGACATGCACCTTTCGGAGTTCGACCTGGCTACGGGTATTGAAGTACTTAAAGTATGCCGTTTTTCGTCTCCTGAGCCATGCACTCAAACCCAACAACCTATATGGCACAAACTCACAAGACGGGCTTAAGCTGTCATTTCGGACTCTGAGTCCCGCAATCGATAAAAATTTTTCAGCATGACCCGAAAGGCCTAAAGGCATAAATAAAGGTTTTCAGACCAAAACAACCTAAACCCGAAAATCCCTGCAACCCTACAGCAACCTCCAAATCCTGAACCCTGCCGTGCCTTGAGCGAGTGCGCGAGTCGAAACCCGAACAGCCAAGGTTGCCCTTTCAAGAAGCAAGGCAGAAAAGCACCAGGTCCCCTGATCCGGCAAAAAAAAAGTTCATGTTTAGGTTTAGGGTACTATAATAAAATGTGCATTCCCTCAGTTCTGAGCCTGCAGCTCTGCCGCATGCGGGGCCGAAGCACGACCCGTGCAAGGCGACTGAGGCCTGCCCAGTAGGCAAAAAGCCCGAAATAATATATGGGCTTCAAAAATTACCTATACTATTTGGGGGGTTCCTGTGTTATAATTATAGTATAATATTCCCCAAACCCTAGTCTAAGTATTAAGGCCCCTGTATGTTAGATTTGTTGGTGCATTCGTTTGGTTCCGGATGCTACAGGGTTTGTGGAGCGAAGGCCCCATGTAGAAAAGCGGTTGTTGGGAAGCCTCGCCTGGGCCAGCGCATGCACAAGAATACAATATCCAGATGGACCATACATACATATATATATATATGTATATGTGGTACATATTTGTTTATTTACACATTTACACATCACCATGACCCAGTTCCATAATAGTAGTACGTGAACCCTCTAGCATACCGCCTCCAGCGCAAATGAATCAATACGTGCTCGGCGACCCAGTTTAGGATTCCTTGACACAAAGGCTGTTGCAATAAGTTCCTTGCACTTGGCTTAGGACACGCCAGTGGTATACGGACGGAATGAAGCAGCTTCGTGAGGGCCACAGCATTCCGAGAGAAGTCTGGAGCGCAGACCGGTTGACTGCCGAGTACTTGTCGTCATGGTGGCTGCTACTTGGAGGATCATGGGACTTAGTAAGTAAGGTTATAAGTGCCCTAATTGGGGTTATAATTATAGTTACCTTATTTATAGCCCTAGTTACTAAGTTTCATGATCCTCCAAGTACAAGTATGCCCTATGAAATCCCGAGCCACTGCAGGTGCAGACACGGCAGTGCTCGAGGCGCTGGGGAAGCGTTGCATGTTTCTGTTTGTCGGACGGGGCTCGCTATTCTTCGCGGTTCCGTAGTATTCAGGTTTCGCTTGCTGTCATCCTGTGGCGTTATCTTGCTTCGACGTTTCGCACATGCAGACGTGCTTTACGAGTCACATCGGCAGCTAGATAGTCTAGGCAAGCGAGATGCATGGCACGCTCATGCGGACGATTATGCACACACATAGCTTGCAACAGCTACCTCAACTCGGCATTGAAGAAATTCCTGATGAATGTGCGCTGCATGTGAAGTCCTTGTAGTGGTTTCGGTAGTCCCTTTTCTCGCATGTCATTTCATTGTAGATACGCGCACATAGCGAAATCGCTGTGTCTTGCGTCGCAGCTGACAGGTGACTGAGTCCGTCCGAGAGAGACAGAGAGAGACAAAAAGGCAGAAAGAAAAACAATGAAATTAAAGATGAGAGAGAGGGAGAGAGAGAGGCGAGATGCATAGCGCAAGCAAATCGGGACACGTCAAAACCCTCGCAACCGAACTCATATCTAGGTTTCACCTCAACCGACTCAGCACCAATAGCCTCGCCTGGCGTGTCCGATTGTGAGCGTCGAAGCCCCCAAACCCCTACAAACGATACATCTGCTGATCCTCCCTCAGCCTAAACCCCTGTAGTCAAGTAAAGTCCTCCAGTCGATCCTTGCAGAAAGAGGCCCTCATTTAGGAAGAGGACCAAGGAAGAAATCTTCGGACTCCACCAGCTCAACCCTGAAGGTCCGAAACATAAACCACATGTGGCAACTTAGGATTAGCCCTCGGTGCAGAACTTATGGTGTACACTTCAGAGTCCAGTGTCCCAAGCAGATCGCGACGAGGACAACGGCACCCAGCAATTCCAAGAAACTCGCGTAGGAGATGCTCCGTGAGCGTTTGCCTGCCGTGCACGGCGTCCTTGTTCAGCATAGGCGCGCTTGCTTCTCCGGTAATAGCAGTTTGTAAGCCATCTTTTTTCAACAGGTCAAGACTGTGATGATCGTTTTCCGGCCGGGAATAAAGGTAAAAAGTGTGCTGGCACGTGATGTGCCAGCTGAACCGTGCTAGCTTGTGAGGATAATGCTTGTGCAGTTCTGGTTTGGTTCTTCGTGTGCGTCCTCGTTCTCTGTACTCAACCGGCCAAACCCTAAACCCTAATCGGTTTAGGGCATAGGGTGTTGGTTTAGGGATTTAGGGTGTACCAAAACCCCAATCGGCCCTAATCCGTACCGAGGGGAGCCTTGACATGGTCAACGCTCCAGTTGAACTGCAGGGTTTAGGGTTCAGGGTTTAGGGTTTAAGTCTTGCTTGCCTCGGTCCGACCTATCATGACAAATCCATGTGAGCCTAAGTCATATAGAAGCCTAAAGGACTAACTACCGGTGCTATGTAAACTTTTGGGATTCCTCCTTAAAATTAAGGCACAAGAATATGTACCAACAAAATCCTGCATTGCCTGGCGCTGTTAGACCCTTTGGATGCAACCAGAGAGAGAGAGAGAGAGAGAGATGCACCCTAAACCCTTAAGCCTTATGCCCGGGGGAAGAGACATGCACCAAAATCCTAGTCTAATGATTAAGGTCCCTACACAGAGAGACTCGCAGGGTCCGTGGGAAATTTGCTCATGCCACTCCATTTAACTGGTCCGGAATTCTTTGTCAAAGCCGGTGCCAGAAGTCGTGCAAGGTTCGATTTTCTCTTCGTCACCTCCAAATGGCCTCTTCGTCGCAAACGGATAGTAAGTATCATTGGCTATGGTTCGTATAGGGACCTGAATTGATTCAGAACAGGGTTTGGGGTATATTATACTACACTTATAAGGAGCCCCCCAATGTAGTATTGGTAATTGTCTAAGCCCGTATATCAAGACCCTTCAGGTCTTTTCAGCTTCTGGAGTCGCCTGCAGGGCCATGGAAAGGGTTTACTTGGAGGATCACGGCACGTAGCAACTGGGGCTATAAATAAGGTAACTCTGATTATAACCCCAGTCAGGGTACTTATAACCTCTCTTACTAAGTCCCATATCCTCCAAGTAGGGTTTAGGATTACACGTCTGTGCAAAAAAGAGTTTAGGGTTCGGCGGAACTCGACAATGTCAAGGCTTGGTTCAGTAATGTAGGGGCTTCAATAATTTCCTCTACTTTTTTTCTTTTTTTTTGGAGGGGGGGTCCTTATCATAAGTATAGTATAATGTATCACAAAACCCTATTCTAATTATTAAGGCCCCAATTTTAGACAAGCTGGTATTGCTACCTTACTTTACCCGTGGATACTACCTGTTGTTTTGTTGTTTGTTGTGTTGGGCGTTTGCTCTTCGTTTTGGTTTAACGACAGAGAGTAACATTACAGCACATACAAATACAGTAGATTACCAACATATTCACATACATGCAGGTATGCGAAACTTACGTACACGTAAGACATATCCACGCATGATCATAGACGTATATGCAGATACACATGCCAGCATGGCACACACACACACACACGCCAGCATTGCAGTTCCAACCCGGTCACGAAAACGGACCGTTAAACAATAAAGAAGTTGTCCTTAGTCGTGCTTACGGGATCCGATGTCCGAGTTTCTGGCTGATGCAGCTCTAACCTCAATAGTTGCAAATTGCAGACAGGTGGTGATTAGTCTTTCTATTATTGCTCTGTCTTGTCATTATATTGTTATTAACATATAGTTCCAAGTAGCACTATGGTTAGTACCAATATTAGTAAGTAGTGCCATTATGAGCACCCTCAGCTCAGGTTTTTGTGCCTGTTTGCGGCAACTCTCGCGGGCGAGGTGCCAGCGGCTTTGGCAATCTTGAGGAGAATGTGAGGGGGTCGTATGAGCGTTATATATTACATCGAGTCTGCAGGCAGACCAGGTATGTTTAAGCTTCAAGTTCTTGCTCTAATCATGGAGCAGCTAAACCTTAAACCCTCGGCGCCTAAGCACACATGGTTTCGACAGGTCTCTCTCTCTCTATATATATATATATATGCACATAAATGTCTACAGTAAACAAGTAAACAGGGGCTTATGGAAATGTAGGCACATAGGCACATACATGCATGCATACGTACATACGTACATATATACATATACAAGTACCTGGGTGGGTCCGTACGTATGTCTGTTCAGTTTTGCAAACTCCATGCTCATGGACGCACAGGTGTCCGCAGGAGGTACATGCTTTTCCATCACAGCGGCTGGCAGACTGTCCCCGATAAATCCCGACTAGATGCGATAAACCATATTCAGGGTTTAGGGGTTAATTCAGGGTTCAGGGCCTATAACTATAACCGTTGTGTTTTCTACGGTCATTGGAAGGACTCTGGTGCTGATCCTACACCACGACCTGCAGGCACTCCATCGCGTGTGGGACGTCCTCCTCGGCGACGGGATTGAGGCAAACCAGGGAGGGTTGTTGGCTGCAGTTCAGTCGCTGATCCCAGTCATTGGCCGAAATAGCAGTATGAACCTGCAAGAAGATATAGAAATGAGAGCAAAAGCCATAGTGTTGCTTGAGGCAAAGCACGGGTAGACCAGAAGCATCTAGAAGCAGTAGCACGGAAAAGCGTAGGAACTCTCAAAACATAGCAGGCGGATGCACATTGATGAACAGTAGCTGATGGTTGAATGGCTGTGATAGTCACTGATAGCCTTTATCTTTTGAACTTTTTGGATGTCTGGACCTATAGCGCGAAGCGCACTTCATGGGAGCCCTGGCAAAACATCCGTAAGCCCGAGAATCCCTAAGCCATGAGCACTAAACCCTCGATGTCCGAGTGTGAGAGCCGAAACCCTTGATGCAGGCAGTTTTCAGAATTTCGCTGTCCCTGTCACGGGCTCGGCATCTGGTGTGTGGGGTCGGGGACATTGTGCTGGGTCTCTGATATTCAGCCTCAACCCCTGGACCCAGAAAAGGGGCGATGAAACCTACACACCCTAAACTAATGAGCCCTAAAGCCTCTTAAGGTTACGACGTTATTGAGTCATGGTGGTTGCAATGACAGTGCTGCACATGTCACCGTAGCAGTAGCCGTCCCAGAGACACTGGGAGGGACCCCTAATAGGGACCCTTCCTCCCATTACCTTAAATAACCATATTAACCCCAATAACCTACAAGGGTCCCTATTAAGGGTCCCTCCTAAAGCCCTTAGAACGGGTACTCGGCTCTTTGGGTGCCTGCTGGTGCGAGCGCGAGTCAATTCTCTATAACCCCAATATATTCGGGTTCATATTAAGAACCCTAATAAAGGCCCAGGGTTTCTTAATGAGGTTCCTACATTACTCGGCTCTTTGGGTGCCTGCTGGTTTCTCTAATCCCGCAACCCTCGGGCTTCGTCTTGCTCGCAGGTTTGCTCTGCAAGAGACAGCGATCCTGCCCGAGTCTAAGCAAGAGGGTCTTGGGGTGTAGTGGTCAGAAACACATGGGAGTTTCCGAAAATAAGGGGTACCTTATTTTGGGGTCCTTCTAATAAGGATCCGATTATTTAGGGTACTATATTAGGGTCCCCTGTTCTCGGAAACCCTCACATCGGAGAAGCAGGAGTTACAATCTTGGCCCCAGCCCCTAATTATGGTTCATGGCCTTGCGGAGCCGGACGTATGTGGCAAGGGCGACAGACGGACAGGGTGTAACGCTTAAGTGTGAGCGCCGAAGCCTTAAATCTTAGCCCTCCATGCCGACTATGAATCCTCGCCTGGCTTGTCCGAGTTGTGAGAGTGCAAACCCTCCATGCGGGCTGTAAAAATGTGTGTGTGTGTGCCGACAGAGGTCCGAGGACCCACTGTAAGCTCTGCAATCTCATACGATATGCAGTTGAGGGCCTGCTTATCTGACCAAAAACCCTAAACCATAATAGAATATAGGTGCCTTCATAATTACCTCTACTATTTTAGGGGTTCCTTATCATCAGTATAGTATAATGGGCTCCAAAATCTTGTTCTAAATACAAAGACTCCTGCATTATACCCCTAGCTTCGAAGATTTAGGGGGTGTTCGGTGTAGTGATTCAGGCCCAAGGCCAACGAAGCCGTTTCAAAGCACCTTTCTACATCCCTTCATAAGCACTATACTTTAAAGCGCACTAAGGATCCTGCTGTAATTTTCTAAAGTCGATTCCTTTAAATTCGAGTAGGGATCCTACTATAATTTTAGGTCCTTCGAGGTTATATTCCGTAATTAGGGACCCTAAACCCTAAACCCTAAACCGTAATTAAGGGATCTTGGACGATCCTAAACCCTAAACCCTAAACCCTAAACCCTAAGCGGTTGCCCACCCCGAACTGCGCCCTTCCCCTCCTCCGGCACAGTGGCGCGCTCAGGTCAGTGAGGTCCCAGGACGACCTAATTCACTTCATGCAGGCCCTGTAGGGTTTAGGGTTTAGGGTTTAGGTTTAGGGTTCCTTCCCTTTGCAGCTTGTGAGATGTTTACTTGGAGGATCATGGGACTTAGTAAGTAAGGTTATAAGTACCCTAATTGGGGTTATAGTTACCTGATGTATAACCCTAGTTACTAAGTCAAGTAGGAGATGTTTACCCATAGGCCCCATAGTAGCCATAGTAGTTCCTTTTGTGGTTTGTATTGAGGATCCTAGTAGGTAATCCCAAAAAGGGAGTACTATGGGGCCTATTTTACGTGGAGGATCATGGGACTTAGTAAGTATGGTTATAAGTACCCTAATTGGGGTTATGATTTTTGCTACCTTATGCATAACCCTACGTAGTTACTAAGTCCCATGATCCTCCAAGTAGGGCCAGATCAGGGTTTGGACTGAGATGTGTGGGGGCCACCTTAGGGCCTGGTTTGGACGGAAACTGACTTCAATGACCAAGGATGGGAAGGACTCCGAATTCAGATACCCTAAACCCTAAACACCAAACCCATATATGTCATATTTCCCAGATCCTTTCTCAGTAGCGTTCTAGTTATCGCGGGTCTACTGGCATCTGTCTTGTAGAGGTTTTTTCCATGAGAGGGACGAACATGCGCGACAGCCCCACGCAAGGTTGAGGCAGTCGGCCAAAAATTAAAGAATGCGAATATGATATGTAAGGCATTTAGATAGCGGCTGCACTACGTAACTACTAATTGTGTTTCCTAGGGTTCCTGATTATAACTATGCTGTCATGCACCACGAAGCCCTGTTCTAATTGATTCTAATTATGGAGGTCCCTTTGCTAAAGGGCACACCTAAACCCTAAACCCTACACTTCTAACTAGTGGCAGGAAAGAACCAAAAGCTTATACGAAGCATCAAGGACCCTACACCCTGGGACCCTACATCCTAATCCCCTTATTGTAAACTTTACAGAACCCTTAAAAGAAAGGTTGTAGTACTCTTCTAGAACCTTTTATAAACCCCGTATAGTAAACCTTGTAAAACGAAACCGTTGTATTGTAGTATCTGCGTAGAACGCTAAACCTCAAGCCCCGTATAGTAAACCTTGTAAAACGAAACCGTTGTATTATAGTATCTGCGTAGAACCCTAAATGCCATTCCTCAAGCACCGCATAATAAACCTTGTAAAACGCAACCGTTGTATTGTAGTATCTGCGTAGAACCCTAAACGCTAAACTTCAAGCCTCGCCTGCATTGCCCGAGTGTGGGAGCCGAAACCCTAAACCTCTACTTGGAGGATCATGGGACTTAGTAACTATGTAGGGTTATACATAAGGTAACTATAATTATAACCCAATTAGGATACTTATAACCTTACTTGCTGAGGCCCATGATCCTCCAAGTACATAATTCGAAGATTGCCACATCCAGGAGTGGCAGCCCGACTGCTCTCCCGAGGCCCCGAGCAGGATAGGCGGTTAGGCTTTGGGATTTTCGTGTGTGTTCAGGGCTTTCGGTTGTTTTAAAACTTTAAGCTTTTTAGGGTTTTAGGGGTTAGGGGTTTGGCTTTGGGGTTTTTAGAGCTTTGATTTGGGCGAGGAGCTGGTGTCAGGAAGTGGGACACAGGGCTGAAAGCAAGCCTCCCCAATCTTGAGAAGCAGCTTGCGACGGAGTAGCCGGAAGTATTCTTCCGTGGAGAGCTGTCAAGGATGGAAAGTACGAACCCCTAAACCCACAAAGCCCTCAAACCAAAAACTCCTGGTTCCAAAATAGCCCCAAAAGCCCTGTAGGATGCCCGAACGCAGAGGGCGACTATAAGGGGCCGGATATTATGCTCCCTATTAGGGTTGTTTAGCCATCCGATGCGTTGCCACGGCGCCAGGCAGATTCGGTTTTTTGGGGGCCTCAATCAGTAGAACAGGGTTTGCGGAAAACTGTGCTGCAGTCAGACTGAGAAATCCGGATACATGGTACTGCGGACATTCAGGCAACTCATGTTACACAAAAAAAGGGTGTCCTTCTTGTACCACACCTGTATACTCATATGCGGGATTCGTGCAGCAAAAAAACCCTAAACCCAAAGCCCCTCTCAGTAAGTAGTGTGATTAGTCAGGGGGACAGGTATAGCTACTTAATCACTTCTACCGAATTAAGGTCATACTCCTTCTTTCCAAGTCCCCTGCTCTTGGCAGTAACTTGTATGCATCCCCTGCAGAACCCAGAGACTCCAATACCCCTTAATTAAGGAATATACCTTAAATCTACTATAATTTAAGGTATATTCCTTAATTAAGGGATATTGGAGTCTCTGGGAACCCATACTGGAAGTCTGCAAGCTGTGGAGACAGCTTCCTGCCCTGCCCCATGCGAGCCAAGAAAACACCCGAGCGTAAGGGCCTTACAAAAAGAGGCGTTTGCTTCTAGGGGGGTGGTAAGGGTCTTCCTACAGTTTTAAAGGAGCTCTACGGAGCTGAAAACAGCGGCCTTCATCAGAACAGGGTTTGGGCTCAGCTAAACTACCAAAACCTACTTTTTTGTAGGGTCCTTATAAATTCTATATTAGGGTTTATAACCAGGACCTACAAAAAAGTAGTTCATGGTAGTTCAAGGTATACACTCAACCGCCACAGCTTGAACCTTTCAATGGTCTCACCGTCCGGCGCCTTGGTTGACTCCACTGTTGCAGCTTTCAGGGTCTCTAAACCCGCCGCAAACATAGGGTTTAGGGTCTTGGGTTGTAATAGTCAGATGATGTTCCCTTAATTTCGGTGATCGGCACTTGTACTTGGATTTGCCTTGCATTCTACCCTAAGTCTCTTGATCCGCAACCCCAACCACGAAGGACGATCATGATGCCGACTGCGAACCGTTAACCTCATTTGTCAAATCCTGGGGGCAAGAGCTTTAATCCCCAACCCTTGGGCCCCTAACCTTTCACCCTCAAACCCCCAACGCGACTGCACCTTAAACCCTCAAGAGTAATTCCTAAACCCCAATCCCTCAGTAGTCCTTCCCTAATTTCTAAAGTCTCTCCTAAACCCTAACCCCTCAAAAGACACTTCTTCTGCTGCTCGCAGGTCATTATACAGACCGCCTACCACCCTTCCCTTGCGGGGTCAGGGCCCTGGCTCTCTCTTGCCTTTTCAGCGAGGCAAACACAAAACCTTTAAACCACCGCTCTGACAAATGACGAGAAGGAAGCCACGCACGCGAAAAGAAATGAAGCTGAATCCTGGGAATCCATCTAAATTGAGGAAACACTGCCTCGGACAGAAGTCGGAAGTGTAGATACAAACCGAATGGCTGCAAGCCCCTGGCCTT